CCTGCCGGAGGGAGGGGACAGGAGTCACAGCCGCCGGGGGGGGGGACACACACAGGACAGTAGGGGAGAGACAAGAGGGACAGAGGACACACATGCAAGCTTGGGGACAGCCACCCAATACAGGTGACGGAGACTGAAGGGGGTCAGCACCCGGCACAGCCCCAGTCCCAGAGGGAACATGCTCAGTCCCGGACTGGGGAGATGCACTGGGGAAGGTGCTTTGGCCTCACCGGGAGGAAGAGGACAGTCCTTGTGGGCACCAGGGGTGGTTAAGAGCGGTGAGTTGAGGGTTAGTTGGCATTAGAGGACAGCCGAGCAGGCAGAGCGAGAGCCAGGCCCTTTACGAGCTGCTGCGTGCGCCCCTGTGGACGGCTCTCAATGTCCCAGGTGAGCTCCAACACCAGGCAAGGATGAAGGGCCCGTCTTCCCCTCCAGAGAGCCCGTGCCACCTTATCCCCCTGCCCGTCGCCACAGCCCCGTCACCATGGGTCTCATGCACCCGCCACCGTGGCGGCCGGGCCGGGCTGGCATCGTCAGGCTGTGCCAGAGCCCACGCACCCATGCCGTGAGCAAGGGTTACTGGGGTTAGTGGTGAGCAGATATGTTAGAAGAAGGTCCATGCATGGTGGACACGTGTGTGTGGGGGGCAATCGGGGTGGCGGGACACAGCCGCACGCCCCAATTCTGTGCCCAAGGATGGAAGAAAAGAGCCAGCACCTGGCCCCAACGTGGGACCGAGGCAGACCCCGCAGCACTCCCATCGGGGAGCTGATCTGCTGCGAGCTGCAGAGGTGGGCTCCAAACCCACACGGCCTCCTGGGGCATGTGGCGCCAGCACTGAGCAAGGCAGGCTCGTGGCACTGTTTTGGGGTGCAACACCCGCAAGGAGAGGGTGAGACACATCAGTTGTGGTGCGACAGGGCTTGGAGAGGTCCCCCCCAAATCCTTGGGGTGCACCAGCAGCCTGGTGAGCTCTTACCGTCCGTGTGCACCCGCATGGCAGAGGCTGTGATGTCGGTCGTCACGTTGAAGTAGGGCAGCCACAGGTCCTGCGGGGACAGAGGGGATGGGTGACACCATGGGGATGTCACCACGGCCAAGCTTGCCGGGGAACCGCAGCCCACCTGAGGGTGCACCTCCCACCCTCATCCAACGCACCTCGATCTGCTTATCCTGGAAAACCTTATTGATGCTGGCGTTGAAGGCTGAGCCCGAAAACATGGAGGTGATGGGGTAGGTGAGGTCCAGGACAGTCTCAAACACCGAATTCATGCACTGCAGAAGGGGATAGAGCAGATGGAGAGAGGCATTTTTAGCAACACCCTGGGGCAGGGCTGGCTGCTGACAGTGACTTTTCGGCCCCTGCAAAGGGGTGAGCTCAGCACTCACCTTGGCCCACTCGCGGGCCCGCTGCTTGGTGCGCACGGCACTGCGTTCCTCGGCGTAGAGCGCGCCGATGAAGGAGCCGATGGAGGTGCCGCCGATCATGTCGATGGGGATCCCCGCCTCCTCCATGGCTTTGATTACCCCGATGTGGGAACAGCCCCTGGGCAAGGGGGGAAGGGAGGGAGGGAGAAAGGATCAGAGCCTCCAGCTGCTCCTTGGCATGGTCGGACCCGGCGGGGCTGGGGCACCCACCTGGCGCCGCCTCCACCCAGGACCAGGGCGATGGTGTTGCCGGTGAGCACTCGCGCCAGGCGGGAGAAGTCACTGTGCCGGTCGGCGTTTTTCTCAAACACTTTCTCGTACATCTCCCTCTGCGGATGGGAGAGCGGGTGGCTGGAGTGGCAGCTCCGTGTCCCAGCACAGAGATGGCAGCTCCGTGGGGCCAGCCAGAGCTGTACGTACCAGCTTGGCAGGACTGCGGCGGGAGAAGACGCGCCGGGGACACTTGATGTGTAGGTGACCGGAGCACCAGCTGCGCATGTTGAGCCACTCGACGGTGCGGCAAGGGCTGGCGCCATCCTCGCGGTGCAGCAGGATCAGCTGCCTCCGGGGGCCCCCGGCCGGGGGCCCGCACCACCGGCTCGGTCCCAGCACCCTGCGCCCCCGCAGCTCACCTCTCCCAGCGCCGGCTCCTGGTCTCCCAGCCCCACGATGAGGATGCAGTCTGCCTGCCGGATGCAGCGCACGGTCCAGGGTGTCAAGGTGCAGTCGGTTTGGTAGAGTACAATGCGGTGGATGTCTTCTTGCTGGGCCAGCCAGCCCGATAGGCGGTATTCGTGGATGCTGCCAAGAAGGAGCCGTCATCAGCCACTGGCACAGTCCCTGCCCAGCGCGCGCCATCTCACTCTTTTACCTGTCCAGTGCCGATGAGCCGAGCCGGGCGCGGATGATATCACTGGTGAGGAGCAGCGTGGGACCTGCAAGAGTCGGGGCTGTGGGTCACCACCACGGTCACTGTTGTGCCATGGTCACCATGGGCTGACACTCACCAATGGCATTGAGCGCATGCTTGAGTTCCAGGGTGAAGGCAGCTGTGGGCACGTCGTCACACACCGGCAGCACTGCCACCGTTGACAGGTTGCTGGTGGGGTTGGTGGGCTCTGAGCTGGAGGCCATGCCCAAACCGGAGCCTGCAAGGACAGAGACACTGGTGGCACAGGGGGACATGACCGAGGGTGTCCTGCCCTTAACAGAGGCCGATCGAGGCGAGGGAACAACCACGGCATGGCTGGCGAGATCCTTCGGGTCCCACCTGCAAAGGGGCCCCGGAGCTGCTGCAGGTTTCCCAGGATCTTCTGGCTCAGCAGGTGGATGAGGCGGGTGACAACCTGCAGGGACAAGGACAGGGATGGCTGTTGGAGCTGGCAGGGCTCCCTGGTTGCCCCACAGTGACGCTCCAGCTGCCAGATGCTCAGACACCCACCAGCATGAGTGTGGCCGGTGCCGAGACACCTTAACACCCCGAGACCAAGCCCCATGTGCCTTTTGCGGTGTGAACCACCCTATTCCCCCACCTTTTGGGGACCTCAGAGAAAGACCCTCCCTTAGGGCATGAAACTATCAGCTTGGTTCAATCCCTTCTTTAATTTAAGCTGGTTTTAATGGGGGTTGCAGTTACTAATCAGGGCTAGAGAGTTCCAGGGAGCTCTGGAAAGCAGATGCAGGAACAGGGACAGCGATTTCCAGCCTTGGAGGTCTCCAAATTTTGGCAGCAGCAAGTCACGGCCACCGTCCCCAGCACTGATCCTGCTCCTTCGCTTGCCGGCTCTATAATCTCCACACCGGAGATATTTCAGTTGGAGAGGTTTCAAGGCTACACCCAGGGCGCAGACTCCACGTGGCTGCACCCTCTTCCGTGCTCACCAGCAGTGCTCGCAACCCTTATGGGGTTAAATCCTGCTGCCTTTCAGTTCAGATGACGCTAAACCTTCCCTTATGGCTCCCTCTGACCCCATGAAGCCCCCCAATTCCCAGGGAGCCCTGAACGCAAGCTCTTCCCTATGCCCCTTGCCCAGCACATCCAGCTGGTGGACACAGAGCCATCCAACAAGAGGTTTCACCTGCAGAGTTTGGAGCCTCCCAGTGCAGCCCAGTTTGCCCAAACTGGAGCAGGTTTCCAGGGAAGGAGCTCTAGCCTTGTACCTGGGGGTATCTGCGCTTGATGTTGTTCAAGGTCCCCTCAGGCAGCTTGGCCAGCTCCGTGTCCCGGACGGCGTGGACCGTGGTGGCTCGGGGCTGCCGAGTGAGGGCTTCCACCTGGAGGAGATGGGATACGTAGATCGAGACCTTCCGCCTCCAGAGAGGGGAGAGAATGGCTCTCAGCAGCCACAGCGGAGCCAGTGAAGCCCCGGGGAGAAGTCGGGAGGTCCCGGCTCACCACACCGATGAGATCCCCGCGGCCGTACTCGCCGATGAGCTCCTTCTTGCCGCTGCCCTTCTGGATCACGGAGCGGAGGCGCCCATTGAGCGCAATGTAGGTGCAGTCTGACTTGTCGCCCTGCCTGAAGGGAGAAAAAAATCAAGTAAGATAAAACACAGCATCCGGAGATGAGCCCCACTGCAACAGGGCAGGGCAGCCACCCTGCGTCACCCACCTGTAGAGCGCACGCCCGGCCTCCACCGCCATCCAGTCGATGGCAAAGTCCATCTGGCGCACAAAGGGCGACATGCGGGCGGCCACGGTGTGGGCGATGCTCAGCACCACGCTGGGCTGCTCCCGCATGATCCTATGGACGGGCGGCAGTCAGGGAACGAGGGACCCCCGCACCATCAACTGAGATCCGGCCGGGTTGGGCCGACCGGTTCCCTGCATTGGCCCCGGAAACGCCCTTTTTGCCCCTCCACCAACGTCGCTACCCACTCGTAGAAGTCCGACTTGGAGATCTTGAGGAAGGTGCAGTCGCGGTTGGCCTTGATGGTGAAGATGAGGGGCTCGCCGGTGAGCACGGCCAGCTGGCCCACCATCTCGCCGGGCTGCGTCAGGAAGAGGCACACGTCCTCTGCCTTGTCGATCATCCGCTGGTACACGTGCAGGCAGCCCCAGAGCACGAAGTGGAGGCTCACGTCCTGTAGGGACGGGAGCACTGTCAGCATTGCACCCCCCCATGCCACCAGTTCCCTCATGGGTGACATGACCCTTGTGCACCCAAGGTGGGACGGAGCCAGCCAGCACCATTTGGGTTTTATTCTGCTCCTCTTTGCAGGTGCTTCATATCCTTCAGGACCCCAATGTGCAGCTCTGAGGTTCATTTCTGCCCCCCCGATGCAAAGCACGGAGTTGGGGTAGGACCCCAGGGAAATATGGGGCGGGCAAGGACCAAGAAGCCACTGCAGCTCCACAATGCCCAGACCCACCTGGTCCCCTTGACGGGCGATGACTGTCCCAGCCTTGGCATGATGGAGCAAGACGCGGTTGTTGAGCAGCGACGGGTCCTGAAGGGAGAACGGTGGCGACGGTGAGCCAGTGGTATCACGCGAGCTGACGGGGGATTTTGACAAGCACCGGTGGCCTCTCTGCCCTCACCTCCACCTTCATGAGCTTCACCAGCTCCCGCTTCGCTGCCTCGAAGATGGTGCTGCTCTGGCGGCCCTGAGAGGGCCCGAAGAGGCCATCACCGCTCACCGCCTCGTCCTCGCAATAGTTGTAGTGGTAGATGCTCGACGGCTGCTCCTCCACTGTCACTGACTTACGCTCCTTGGGCTCTTGGGAGATGGACTGTGGAGGGGAGGAAGGGACAGCTCTGACCACCGGCCACCCCAGGAGAGCACCCCAAACTCCAACATCAGGAACGTGGGTGCTCAGAGGAGGAATGATTCCCTCCCCCATGCAAGGATGAGTTCAGGTTCATTGGAGAGACCAGATGGCGATGGGACCAGTGTAGTCTGGCTGAAGCAGAGTCCATGGGGATGGTGCAAGCAACACCAAGCTCAGGGCACAAGGACAAAGAGCCACGTTTCGCAATGTCCCTCGTGGGGAAACATCCCAACCAGCTTCTCCTTTGCGGCAATGTGCCCCAGGGGAGCCCCAAGGAGGCTCAAGCAATTTGGGAACTCAGCAGGGCATGGCGCCTTACCCGGGAGAAGGAGGCCAGGGCACCGGTGCTGTCCTCCTGCAGCGATACCGAGATGCGGCCACGCTCATAGGCCATGTCAAAGTCGGAGCGGGGACCTTTTTGGATGCCTGTGCAGGACGAAGAAAGGAGGAGAAGTGGGCAATCACCAAGGATCCTACAGAGCCAGGATTGCCATCCTGGCACACTGGGGGATTGCACAGCTCCAACCTACCGGAGATATCCACTGGCATCGAGATGCAACGGCTCAGTAACGGCGGCACAGGGGCATCCAGGGCTCCTGCCTTCAACGGGTCAGCTGCAGGGCAACATGCAGCCCTGAGCACCAGGAATGCATCCAGATAGTGGCAATGCTGGCAGGATACGACCCCATCCCAAGTCTTACCCAGCTCCCTGGCTGCCTCTGGGGGCCTGGCTGTGCTCTCCCTGCCCTCATCAGCGACGGCAGCGCTCAGGACCCGCTTGCTGTGGCGCACGGGGCTGGTGCGGGCTGCGTGGCTGGGCTGGGCGAAGAGCCGCAGTGGCTGCATCTCCTGCAGCAGAACGAAGGGGCTGTGTCACTGTTCGGTGCCCCC